AATGTCTTTAAGATTCGTTTTGGAACGAGTTTATCTTACAGTACCCAAGTCCAGAATGGGACACAGTAACACCTGAAGCCAAGAGTCTCATTGATAGTATGCTGACGGTAAATCCAAAAAAGCGAATCACCGCCGATCAAGCACTGAAAGTGCCATGGATCTGTGTATGTTCCTGCTCTTTTAGCGCACCTAGTCTCATCTGCGATTTCACAAATCTATCACCTTTATTCAGAATCGTGAACGTGTAGCGTCGGTGATGCACCGACAAGATACTGTGGACTGCTTGAAGAAGTTCAACGCCAGACGAAAGCTCAAGGTGTGTTTTCTTGCATTCTTTTCTCTTGTTGAAATACAGTTGTGCTAAACGCGTTTGTTCACTTAATCAAGTAGTTTTTTGGATATTCGAATGCGGTCTTAAGAATAGGCGTCTGCGTTAGCCGCTTGGACGCCGCCTGGTTAGGTGCCCTTGCGCAGGATATCAGTGAATCCCCGAATTCTTCAGGTCTTTTGTTCAGGAGGTCAAAGGAGGTTCAGCTCTGCTTTTTACCTACCATAATGTTTTCGGTTTACTGTCAATCGCAACAGCTCAATGACGCAAGTCGGCTGAGGAAGGGTATTTGAAGGGCCTCTTATGCGCAGCTGGGCTAGGCTTGATTTGCCTCACCATAAGCCATGAAGCGAAGAAGCTCCGGGTGAACTGAAACCAATTTCTGGTCCACAAGGGCGGTCACTTTAGTTCAGTAAAATTTGTTCTCTAGGCTCGCCCGAACCATCTTAGCCGACTGCCAGTACACGTACTTCTTTCTCGCAGTCGCTTGCCGAATTTTTTCGTTAGCGCTTTTCCGGGGTAATTACCTTGTACTGCTCCTTCAGCTGAAGGACTACACGTTTCCATATCTTTAAATTGGTTCCTCGGTTTTTCTTGAGGTTCTACGGCTCCGCAATAAAGTACTCAAAAAAAAACAGTTTCGTGATACCTAAACTGTTGAAAGAGATACAACCGCAGAAATCTTTTGCCAGTTTTCCATCTTTCGAAACAAAAAATGAGACGTAATTTTCGATTGACTTCTAATTAAGAGTTACCAAAATGGGGAATTTATTTTCTTAGGTCGCGAATCATTTCCTTATTTCGTTTCCCTGGGACCACTTTTTCTGCGGCATCAACCAGCTTAGGCCGCGTTCATAGCTTGCGTTCGTGAAGAAATGCAGAAATGCGGAAAATGCAGAAGTGCGGAAAGTGCAGAAGTGCGGAATCTGCAGAAAAGCAATAGATACTTATCGACTTGAAGAAATGCAGAAATGCCGAAACTGCAGACGTGCGGAAAGTGACGAAAAGCATTACATACGTATCGATTTCAGAAATGGCGCAGAAATGCGAAATTTTATAAAAAATCCGGAATCTGCAGAAATCGAAAGTGAAGTCCGGAATCTGCAGAAATGCCGTCAAAGTGCGGAATGTGCAGAAAAGCAACCGATACGTATCGATTTTCCGCACTTTCGGCATTTCTGCAGATTCCGCACTTCTTCACTTTCGGCATTTCTGCAGATTCCGCACTTCTTCACTTTCGGCATTTCTGCATTTCTTCAAATCGATACGTATGTAATGCTTTTCGTCATTTCTGCACTTTCCGCACGTCTGCAGTTTCGGCATTTCTGCATTTCTTCAAGTCGATACGTATCTATTGCTTTTCTGCAGATTCCGCACTTCTGCATTTTCCGCATTTCTGCATTTCTTCACGAACGCAAGCTATGAACGCGGCCTTACTGGAAGCAACCTTTTCCCTTTTCACTGCTTTCGTTGGGCTCGCCATAGGTTTCCTACTTTTGAAAATTCCGCCATTTTTGCTCGTAAGCACCTTCCAAGCCGTTCAAGCTGCCATAAGCGACGCTAATTCGTGGCTTGTTTGTATTTGGATTTTATAATTTTGCTCATTCCTTTCGGGTTCATTCATATTAGCCTAGTGCAACCGCATCCTATTTGGCCATGTTTTTTGAGTTCATTATCGATATTGTATATTTTTATGTACCGTTAGTGTGAGTATCATGGTCTGCCTATAGTCTAAAGAAAAACGCCTGCGTTTGAGGATGAGAGTCTGACGCCATCTGATGCCGGCCGCCTGAGGCTCTGACATAACTTCTAATTCTTATTAGGAAAATATGTAGAGCGTAGACGTAAGGCATCAGACGACTGAAACTCTCCCGAAACGGTCCACATTCCTAATGAAGACGATATGCAGACACAAGTGAATGGGTTTGTTGCGAACGGGACGCTCGACGATCGCGCTCGGTATCACCGCTTCCGGGCAGTTCTATCCTTGCTTCTTCTCCCTTTTCTTCTTTAGTCGCCACTTCTACCTCATCCCTATCGACAGAGTCTGGTCGCCCTTGTCACTACTGTACGTGCGTGCTGGACCCTTGTACCTGGAATTTTGCTCATCTCACCGCATGCTGCGTTTCCTCTATTTCCTTTCCTTTTTGCTGTGATTGTAGTGCTGTTGGTATGAACTGGAATGCTCAACTTTTGACCTTTGCATGATGGAATGAGCGAGTGAAGGCGAATGTCATTGCCTTGTCTATCCTATCCTTTGTCCTCTCTGGCACAAGCTTATCTGTCTATCTTTTCACAATGCCGAGCTGTCTGAAAAGTTGCGCTCAGCTTTAGGTGTAAACATTTGCCCCATTCAAAAAGGAAAGCTAGATTCTAGAAGTGCTTATCACTGTTTTCACCGTTGAAAAGGACCAGGAATAAGCAAAATCGGCAGGAAATGCAATAATGAGTGCTCCCAAGACATTTTTGGATTGAAAATTCCTTTAGAAGTCTACTAGCTCCCGGACCTTGTCAATAAACCAAAATCTGAGATTCTGCTCGTATATAGCTAGTACTTCTAGCTGCAGGGATCCCAAGACAGAGCATGGGGTGCTCGTCATTCCGTCACTTCTGTGAGGTGTGAATCAAAACGCCAGCAGAGCAGAGGAATTCCCTGCACTTAGCTTAAAATTCGCGGCCTCCCATAAACTCTTTCAGTGCTAACTATGCTTTTTACTGGAGAGGGCCTTCTTTATTTTCGCTGTTCGGTCTGCCATACTCCGAGGCCAGGGATCGTCATCCTAAGAGGCCAGTCCGCATCAAAGAAGCGGCTTGACGCCTTTTCGCGTTAATTGCAGCAGTAAGTTGTTCCAGTGATGTGTGGACTCCTCTGACTAGGACGGTCCGTAAACCATGGAACTTTGAATGGAGACCTGGGTAGATCGATAGTCTATAAGGTTATTTACAAATATAGATAGCAAAACTGCAACCTGCATTTCACAAGCAACTTATGAGCAGGTAAAGTTTGTAAGGGTGGAGGTTTGGTGGTGAGCTGTAAAGCATAAGTGTGGAACCCCATACGTCGCACACCACTCGTCTTACCACTGAACCACCACGACTCGATTCGACGTATGCGATTCCTCGCTTATGCTTCACAGCTCACCACCAAGCCTCCACCCTACTGCACCATTACAAACTTTACCTGCTCATAAGTTGCTTGTGCATGCAGTTTTGCTATCTATATTTGTAAATAACCTTATAGACTCTATCGATCTACCCAGGTCTCCATTCAAAGTTCCATGGTAAGTTGGCGAACTTCCCCGGTGAGGAAGACAGCCCGGTCGAAACGTCAAGTAATTTTTAACAAAGTCTTCCACATAGCAACCTCTTTGGCATAACAAATTGAAAACTGCAGAGTTCAGAATAATGCCGGCATTTTATGAAGAGAGAAGCTGGTCGCTAAAAAATTAGTTTTGATAGACGGCGCATTTTTTGACTACTTATGGCGCACCATGATTGGAGAGCTCGCTTTTTACATTTCTTACAGTTACAGTACACTTCTGGTTTTGAACAGATAACGCGTGACCACAGTTTCACCTGCGCCCTGGTGTTTGTCAATTTTGTTGCGATACGTTTCGTGAGGAAGTGCTTCAAATGTACTGTAAACCTGGTCTTACGTTCTTAGTGATGCGTGGCTTTCTGGACAGTCTTTTATGTCTACGAACTATATCTCTTCACACCTCTGGTTGTTGCTATGTTTCGTACAGTACTGAAAAGATTTTCACCTGAATTTGTGCCCTTCTGAAAGGCCGCGATCTCCGCTGTGAAAATGGTGACACGAATCAGTGGTGTGCTGAGGACGAGCGATTCAACTGGCAGTGTCGCGTCAAACGGCAGCGGACCTGAACCGGCAGCATCATCATCTCAACCTAGCAGTCCACAGCACCCTACACAAGAGGTACCGACCACCACTACAACATCCAACTACCTTCACATCCTTAACTCACATACACCGCCAACCACTACTACCCTCGCTGCCGCTGCTGCTTTTATTGTTGAAAATGTGTTAAGTACCCTATGTTTCTTCCGTTTTGCCCTGATCACAGCCTATTAGATTCCTTTGTCGATCACTGTTGTCAGTCACTACGAGTCGGCTTTAAAAGCATGCTGCACCAACCACTAGGTAATTAAGGGCGTGATCTTCACCTTTTTCAAACCTTGGGTGTACAGCAGACGCAACCGCTAAGAGCTAGCTAGCCCTGATGGAAAAAGTGTCCAAGGTTTTCCACTAACAGTACGCTGCATGCTCTATTGTCCGTTTCCTTTTCCTTTTGTACTTGCTTGTCCTAACACCGCGGATTCGTAGTGAAACAGTCGACCTTGATCGATTCTTTTGTAAGTGAAGAAGCCTCACTTTCACCAGCACAAAATTGGCGTATGAACACCGTCTGCTGTGCGTGATGTGAACTTAGTTTGTTGTGCAAGTCGGCTGGGCGATTTATCCTGCTCTGCGATATCTCGCTCATACGACGGCTAGTATTTGCATACGTTTTTCCTGTTCGTTCGATTGATATATCTATGCCTCACTATACCTCGCGTTTTTCACTCGATTTTCTGTGTTTGTCCAAACACTATACGGAAAGACGTTCGTAGGAGATGGATTCACACGGGGAAGAGGCTCTGTTTAGACCGTCTCTTGGCACGCCGTCTTTGGCCACTGAGCGACAAATTTGTCCCTGACTTGAAAAATCTAGCGAAAATCGTACCTGGAACTGCCGTCCTTAACACGGACCGACGCCTGCGCGCCATTCGCGTGGCGTTCACAAGTGACTGCGGCTTTTTTCTATTCAGTGCTGGCGTGACACAGGTTATGTGTCATGCGGAGACTCGGGGGAGGCTTCAGTCACAATTATTTTCTTGTTGTCGACTTCTCTCAGAAAATTCCTGCCTGGGAGGTCATTTCACGTACCAATCAGGAAAATGACATTTTTTAGCGCTGGCCCCATTCTGTTAACTGACACTATTTTGGCGCCACCATCTTTTTCGCCAAAGTTGGT